CACACACACACACACACACACACACACACACACACACGCACACACACACACACACGCACACACACACACCTCTGTGAACACACACCGTCTCCTGTGCTCTCTCTCTCTCTCTAGTGTATCTCTCCAATTGCCCTTTGCACACAGCCACAGGCAGTTTACACATTGGTGGCGAAAGTGTGTGTGTGAAAGACGAACCCTAAGACAGTGTGTTGGACACTGAATAAATAAAAAATATGAGAAAGAAAGCGATGGCTCGGAGGGGAGAAGGGAAAAGGAGAAAGCATGTGAGACTGAATAAGAGATAACAACTGACAAAGGAGAAATGGAAGATTGCAGCAGAGTGAAGAGAAATACTGGGTTGGCTTCAGTGCTGTGTGGTATCAGCATATCAGAGTGGCAGATTATTGGATGCTCTGAGAATCAAGAAACATGGAAACACAATAACCAGTAATTAAACAAGCAAACAGTGTCAGTGTTTACACGAGGAGAGAAGTTACGGTGCTACAGGATCACGCAAAGTCACATTTAAATTCTTTGCCCTGATGTGGTCTTTGGCTGCTTTCTTTATTTGGAGCGTCAGATTTCTGTGTGAATTGGATGTGGTTGTGTAAACTGGTACCGTGTCACTTCAGTGTTCCTCAGATCCATCTGTTATCGTCACATCTGGTTATCACTGCTTTTTTTTGCCTTTGCCAGTTTCCTTGAACAAGTCGAGGCCCAAAGACCTCCAGGAGGTCTGGAGAACTGTTGCTCAAGATACTCTGGCTCCTCAGAAGCTAATTAGAAGTCAATGAAGTCAATGAGAGGTAACTCAAGACTTTTGCACAGTACGGTGGCTGCCTTACGTTAATCACTGGGACTAAACCCAAAGTACCCCCAAGTCACTCTTTGTTGCTGTTTCACAGCTCACTGAGCTCACTGCTTAGACTGCCCTCTGCTGGTAGTTTTGTGCAGAACAATAAAACATTGGTTTAATAGATAAAGGAGCACGTGGTCACTCTTTTTGATGATATTAGAAGTCACACCAATCGGATTCTAAATATCCTGGTATCCTCTAATGCAACAGATACTTTGCATACAGTTGCATAATGTTTTTTACTTAATTATTATATAATTGGAGATTAGATTAGATAAAACTTTATTAATCCCTTGGGTGAGTTCCTCCAGGAAATTCTTTTTCCAGTAGCACAGCACCGACAGAAGTTGCAAAAGAATGTAAGCAGAAATAGAAATATATCATATATACACATATATTAATACAGAGTGTATAATAGTGATTAATAGGAATAACCAGGGAATTGCACATTTCAACTATTTTGAGTCTATTGCACCGATGAATATAGAAAAATATTGCACAGTGAAAAGGGCTCTACAGATTAGTTGTTCCCCCCTCCTTTGTCCTCCTGTCTCCCCTCCCTCTCCCCTCCAGAGAGGAGTTAAACAGTTTGATGGCGTGTGGGACAAAGGAGTTTTTAAGTCTGTTGGTTCTTGACTTTGGGAGAAGCAACCTGAACAGACTGCTCTGGTTGTTTATGGCCGTGTGCAGAGGATGCCCAGCATTGTTCATAATGTCCAGCAGTTTCTTTAGTGTCCTTTTCTCTGCCACTGTCACCAGAGTGTCCAGCTTCATGCCGACCACAGAGCCAGCCTTCCTGATCAGTTTCTCCAGTCTGGATGAGTCCTTCTTTGCTGTGCTGCTCCCCCAGCACACCACAGCATAGAAAAGTACTCCAGCAACCACTGACTGGTAAAACATCCTCAGGAGCTTCCTGCAGATGTTAAATACAGTCTGCTTTTTATACAGATGCTGCTGTTGCATGAGCAGTCCAATTTAAAGTAAATTTATTTTTGCTGG